CTAGAAGACACATTAATAAGAAGAAGATGGGAAGCTGAACATTCTGGAGTGGACAAACCACAAAATCAGATGTGCTTGGAGAATGTGAGACCTTGAAATAGAGAACTCTTTTTAATCAACCATAATAATTATTTTTATTTTCTCAACTTTTTGAAATAATTTAAGACTAATAAAAAAGTTGTGAATACATACATACATACGTACGTACATACATACATAAAGATTTCCCATAAACTTTCACCCAGATTCCCCAAACGTTAACATCTTCATAATAAGAGTGCCAGGATTGAAATCATGGAATTAACATCGCTACAAAGCTGTTATCTAATCTACAAAATTCATTCAGATTTCACCAACTGTCTCACTAATGTTCTTTTTCTGACCCAGGATCCAATTTAGGATTTCACATAGCATTTAACATTCACATCTCTTTAGTCCCTTGTACTGTGAGACAGCTCCTCAGTGTTTCTTTGTCTTTCATGAACCTTGACTCTGTTAAAGAACAAAATTCAACTGAGTAAATTCGAAGATCTAACTGGGTTTATTAAGCAATTAATGAGCTGGGCAGCATCCCATCTAGCAACTAGAAGGGCACTGGGAGGAGTTATACAAAATAGAAGCCAGAAAAAGAGACAAGAAAGTTAAATAGTGAATTATTTCAGGCAAAGTCACCTTCCCTTAGAGGAAGGCAGGGGGTCTTATCAGGCAGATTATCTCACTAGTGCTTGCCAGGAAATTCCAGACTGGTTTAAAATTCCACTCCTGGGAGAGCCTCTCACTGCAGTTAGGTGGGGAATTAAGTCTTGGTGGGGCTTAGCAAGAGTCACTCTGTTTTGGGTCTGTTGTTTCTTTATAACACTTAATAAAATGTCCCTTAATTTTGGTCTCTGTCCTTTCCTCATGATTAAATTCAAGTTATTCATTTTGGTAAGAATACCACAGAAGTGATGCTGTATCTTATCAGGAGGTACATGCCGTCTGGTGATATTAATTTGATGTCTGGTGGTGGCTTACAGGTTTCTCCACTGCAAAGTTACTTAAGAATTACAAAGGAAAAATAGTATGTTCTGGGAAAATGCTTTGAGATGCAAAAATATCCTTTTCTCATACTTTCACCCAATAATTCTAACATCCATTGATGATTCTTGCCTGAAATGACCATGGTTAATTTTAAACTAGAATAATAATAAAGAGAAACATGTGATAGGCAAATCTTTGAAAAGTACTTCATAAATGAGACTGTCCTTTGGTCCTCTAGTTCTCAGACAGCAGGTGGAAGTCACAAGGTATCCACTTATTTTATTGAGTGATTTATGAGCCCTGGGACCCCACTGAATGGCCTGGAGTGCTATTTGTCATAACTTTTGCTTATCGGGTAATGTGGCCTGTGGAAACCATACTTCAGACTCTGTACAAACCCTCAAGCTACACCTGTGCATCACCCACATTCCATGAAAACAGATCTCCTTAGATTCTTCTGTTTCTATTTGCATATGGCCTATTCATCCTGGCACTTTTGGTGTCACTTGGGCTGTTCCTGTAAGCTGTGGTGATGTCTCACCTGTCCACCTTCTCTCCCATCTTTACAAATTATATACTTACCACAAGTCTCAGCTCAAAGCTCTGTTCTGCATGAAGTCTTTCAGGGGAGGGCAGAGTCTACCTTTTTGTTTGACATTTTTCTGCACTTAACAATAAAGTTTGGGTCTCAGCACTCCTCTGTGGCAGAAGGGGGACAAAGAAAGGTGATTCATAGTCCCCCAAGAAGTAGTAAAGAGAGGTGCATGAAATTAGTGAATTCTACGAAAAGAACAAGCTTTATAGAAACACAGAGGAAATCACAGAAAAAGTGGCTTTCGAAATGAGCCTTGAAGGATGCAGAATTTGAGCTGTGAGTGAGTCTTTCTGGACTGAAAAAATGTTAGCTGTGAGCATAAACTGCTCATACCTACGGAGACATGTGACAATGTATTTGGAGGTGGAGTGGAAAGCATCTTAGAGAGGTTGGGAAAAGGGCTGGGAAGAGAGTCAACTTTATAAAGGCTTTTATACTGTGTACAGTAGGATGTTAGACTGGATTTGATCCTGGGGTTTCAAGATAATAATTCTTGCAGGAAGATAGAAGGTGGATTGGATAAATATGTCATTAGGGAAATGGACTGCAATCAGGAGTGCTCCAGGCAGAAGATGAGCACTTGAATTTAGGCAGTAGCTGAAAAGGAGCAATTTGCCAGCAACCAGTGTACCACTGCTTTTTTGTGATTCTGAACTTTAAAAAGCTGAAAATCAGAAGTTTCCTCTCAAGTTCACAGACAATTTATTTGGTAGAAAAACATGACTTAAACTGATGTAAAGCTCTTTATTGTCTTTATTTATACCACTTCATGGATAAAAAGATGACCACAGTTCTTTTCTGTTCCTCCCATCCAGAGGTGGTGTCTATTTCCCCTCTGTTTAAATTTAGGTTGTCCTTGTCCCTGGCTTTGACCACTAGAATGTGGTGGAAATAACGCTATGTAGCTGTCGAGATTGAGCCTTAGGAGATCTGCAGCTTCTGCTTTTGCCCCTCCTGGAACGTTCCCTCTTGGAAGCCAGTTGCCATGTAGAAGTCCAACTACTCTGAGTTCACCATGCTGTAAGGAAGCCTAAGATTCATGGAGAAGCTAGGTGAAGGAGCACTGAAGTGCCAGAATATGAGTGAACAGAATGTGAGTGAAGCCTTTTTGAATTTTCTAGACCTGCCCAGCCACCAACTGAAGGTAGCTGAGTGAATGGCTCTAACCAACACACATGAAGCAGAACTGCCAGCCAAGTCCTGCCCAAATTCCTGACCCACAGATTCATGAGCAGATAAGGCAGTTGTCATTTTAAACCACTGATGTTTGAGGAGTGTTTATTACAACAGATAAACACACACATCATTCATATGTTTTCATTGCAGAAAATCAGTGTATTTGATTAATACTCTCCAGACCTCACTGAGGCTGTTATATAGCATATATAATACATGTACATTTTACCTTTCTAAAAAAAAAAAATTGAATTTTGAAATCCATTTGGCCGCAAGAGTTTTTCAAGAAGGAACTGTCTTTTGTATCACAGAAATAGAGTTGTCTAGACTTCCTTCCTGTCTTCCTGCATTCCCTAAATGTCACAAATGATGCCATAGACTCCCAGTCATTTCATGTATCTCATTTCCCCAGCAACATTATGGGTTTCTCTAAACCAGTAGCTCTCGAACGTCAGCATATTTCAAAGTCTCTTGAAAGACTCGTTCAAACACAGTTTCCTGGGCTCTGCCCCCAGGGTTACTGACTCAATGGGTCTGAGGTGGGTCTTATATTTCTAAAAATTTCTCAAGTGGTGCTGATGCTGCTGATCTAGGGACTACCCCTTAAAAACCACTGCTCTAGAGGAAAGTGCTATATTTTAGTTTTTGTTTTATTTGCCCACCAGCCCAAAGTGCTGAGCAAATGCTCATGGATAGAATTTCCCTAAACCTTTATCTTTGTAATGTTTTTGAAGCCTTAATTTTTATTTCTGAGGTCCTCCCTACTAGGCCCAAGACTTCAAAGAAACTAATTCCTTGTTTTATCAGATTGTAGTTTTTACTTTCTTCTCGGTTCAGCTGATATTGTGGATAAAATGTCCCTTCTGACCTCTTTTTAAACCTGTTTTGGAACAGATCAGAAGGAATGGCTTCTCTGACCCCAAAGCGACCCTCTATTTGTGACCAATGATTGTTTTCTTTCCTTTTGGTGGTTTCCAAACAAATAAAATGTTTCTTGCCATCCTCTCACAAAACAGGAGGGCCCACCCAGAACATACTCTTTTTTGGCAAGAGACCCATCTAACGAAGCCTGCATTTTACGTACCTCTGAGGTCCAGAGAGGTGGAGCCACCTGCTCATAGTCAAATAGGTGGGACATGCCAGTGCTGCCCTGTTGGAACTCAAGTCTAACTTGACCCTACAACAAACCGCCTCACTAAATGGGGCTTCCTCACCCCTACTCCCACCCCAGAAAACACAGTCCGTGTGTCATAAACGTCACTTTGCATAACCCATACCTTTCGAGCTTTTTTTCAAATATTTCCTTCAGAGGGTGACAGGACGGTCACACTAATTCGTCTTGGCCAGAGACGCCAAATATCTCCCTTCTCCCATCTCCCGGCCAGGAGCCGTCACCTCGGCTCCACGGATACCCGCGACACAGCCACTGCGTGCGTCTGGAGGCGTCTCGCCCTCAAAGTTCAGCGATTAAGTTGGTTCCTCACATTGTTCTCGGCAGGAGGGGCAGGAAATAACGCCGGGCTGCGGTGGCGGCCACGGCGGGCGGGGGGAAAGCTCGGGCGGTCTCTCGGGCAGTCCTGGCGGCCTCGCATCGATCTCGGGTCTAAGGTCCAGTCGGGTCAGAGTTCCCGCCACTCTTTCACGCTTTCGAGTCAGCACCCCACCCCCTGCCCCGGTTGAGGCTCAGAGGGCTCGTTCCTGGAAGCCTCTGTGTCCCGATGGGGCCCTAAAGCCCCGGTCGCCGTCAGGTGTAAGGAGACAGGTCAGCGGTGGCTGCCGCCGGTGGGAGGCGGAGCCTGACGGAGGCCAGGGCCGGGCGGGGGGGTGCAGCGGGCGGCCGGAGCCCCGAGCCCCCTCCTCCGAACAGCCTGCCCGGCAGCCCTGGGCACGGCTTGGCCCCCTCTGTGCCTCA